TTTATTTAATTTGGGATGGATGGAGGGAAGTAAATAGATATATCAGAGGATGGCAGCAGGTGGCATTGTCTCCTTTCTGTTGTCATGCCAACTACCACTTCTTCAGCTTCCCTTTAATTTACTGCCTATGATTATCAAGATGAGGGTGCTATTGATGCAAAAAAACAAATTGATTGAATTATCATTTCTTTCTAACATATGAAAGATAAAAATTATACATACAACCTTATATAAATAAAAAAGAATGTTTGTAGTCAGGGTTGAAATGAGGCATCCTTGACGCTCTCTGAGTTGTTTTCTTGCATATGTTTCATTATCATGAGCCTGATATTTTCACTATATATTTCCATACCTAGTTTGCTATGTAACATTAAGTGAATGGGACCAGCATGTCTTAATTTTCTGCTCACACAAGGATGGATAGATGGTATGCTAATCCTGTTAGATAGTTAGCTATCCAATTTTCAGGTATTGGCCCTAAATATACAAGGATCCAAAAAGGATTTCAGCAGAGCCAAACAGTAGTGTGTGATTGAACAAATAGTAATTTTCCAGTTGAATCTAAAGAATAGGTGAATCCTAAAATTATTTATATCAACCAGTGACCAAACCTAAAACAAATGCCCCAAGAATGTATAAAATTAAATCCACATTTTCCACAGGCAATTGTAAAATGGACACCCTACCTATAAAGTCCAAAGTTATTTAAATTTGAATAAAATATGTCAATCCAGTATATACAACTGCAAAAATACATAAAATATTTCAAAAACTTTTATGCAATGAAAATTCAGATAGGTTGGATTTTGCCTAATTAAGACAATTATATAAGGTTAAATTATCAAAATATGCACTTGTATCAGTAAACAGTAAATAAATGTTTCAAGAGATATTCACATGTTTAGTTACACTTAAGGTATAACTGTAGTAAGCAAGAATGCATCCTTGAATTTGTTGAATACATTTTTTGAATTAATTTACATTTGTTGAATACATATCTATAAATAAAGGTCTATATGATTTCTTCAAAACAAATGATTAATATAGAGCATTGTCCTAACTTTTTAAAATTTTATACATTCTGACATACACTCAACTGAATCTAATAGAAATAAATTTATTAGTCTTATTAAAGTATGCCAGCCTGATTTTAATAACAGCAATTACAAATAATATTTTCTATGTAAAATATGTATTTTCTCCTTTCTGTCTCCAGTTCTATCTCTCTAGCTTGTTGATATTTCTTCTGTAAATTGTCTTTATATTAACAGTTTTCTGCCCTTTTTCTTCTAGTTATGTCACAGAGTTTGTAGATTTGGGCAATGTCTCTGCTCTACAGACATTCCGTGTTCTTCGAGCGCTAAAAACTATCACCGTCATTCCAGATATATCATGGGGATGACAAAGCTAAAGATTGTTTTAGGGATTTTGCTTTTTTATACAAATCAACCAGACTAGTAGAAAAATGAGGTAGACATGCCTCTTTATTGGACCCGGAAATCTGTAATTAATATTGTAGTAAAAAGAAGAATTTTGGTTGCCTTTTAAAAAACAAATATAATTATGGTACTGAAGGCAAATTCTATATAATCATTATCTGTAATTACTATAATTAAATTAATTTAAAGCACAGCAAAAATGACTTGACATAATTTATGTAACTAGCCTTTCAATTCTTTTCAAAATATCTTTTCTTGAAATATTCCTGCTAACAAATATAATTTGTTGTGGAGCGGCGGAGGAACGAGGCTGAGCCAGAGTGAAACATAAAAGGCTTTATTGCAATGAATAAAGGGTTGCCGCGTCTGCCTCCT